TTGTAACCTTCTCCTATATGTTCTCCCCATCTCCATACCTGTCCCCCCACCTCCAATGAGTCTTTTAAATGGCACTTTGAATACTCATTCTACAACTGCAACTCTGTCCATGTGAATCCTCAACCAAGACATCTTTGTGGATTATGACACCTTTAAGAACAAATAATACTGTAATATACAACATGGGGCTACAGTTAATAATACTCTACTGAATATTTGGAAGTTGCTAAGAGAGTAAATCTTTTTTGTTAAATTTTATTTACTGGCGTGCCTTGGTGACTCAGTCGGTTAAGTGTCTGACTTCAGCTCAGGTCATGATCCCAGGGTCCTGGGATCAAGCCCTGCATCGGGCTCCCTGCTCTGTGGAGAGTCGGCTTCTCCCTCTCTGCAGCTCCCCATTCTTGCACTCTCTTGTTCTCTCTTTCTGTCTCTCTCTCTCTCTGTCAAATAAATAAATAAAATCTTTAAAAAAAAATCTTATTTACTTATTTTAGAGAGCGTGAGCGAGCATGGGGAGAAGCAGAGGGAGAGGGAGAGAGAGAGAGAGAATCTCCAGCAGACTCTGCGCTAAACACAGAGCCCGATGCGGGGCTCATCCCAGGACCCTGAGATCATGACCTGAGCCGAAACCAAGAGTCAGACACTTAACCAACTGAGCCACCAGGTGCCCCTAAGAGAGTAAATCTTGAAAGTCCTAACTACAAGAAAAAAATTTATAATGATGTATGGTGACAGATGTTAACTAGACTTATTGTGGTGATACATCTTGTAATGTATACAAATATTGAATCATTATGTTGTACACCTGAAACTAATATAATGCTGTATGTCAACTATACCTCAATTTATAAATAAATAAATAAATAAATAAATAAATAAATAAATAAATAAATAAAATAATACTGATCTTGGTATCAGAATTGAGACGTGATAATACTTTCTGTATTTACCTACCCTAAACGGTTGGCTTCACATTCTCTGACTATATTGAAATATGGTTATCTAAGCCTCACCTTGAATTTTCAAGCCTCAGTGCTTATAAGACTTTCCCTCAGACTCTCTCTTCTGAGAAAAATGGAGTCATCCTTCAAGATGCATCTCAGGTGCTCCCTCATCTGTGAAGGCTTTCTTAAACTGCTCCATCTTCTGGACATAGTCAACGACTTGACTTTGTCTCCACAATCCCTAGTAGGATCTCCTTTACAGTACTTTCAACAGAGTATTGAAATGATTGCTAGCTCTTAATATCCTTATAAGATAACAAACTGTGGTATTTTCTGGTGCAATGGGGCTAAACTTCCTGACTTAAAGTCCTAGTTTCAGCATTTACTGCCTGTTGGGCCCTGGGCCAGTTACCTGACTCTTCTGTGTCTCAATTTCCTGGTATGTGAAATGGGACTACTAGAAATCTTCTTCATGGTGCTCTTTTGAGGATTCCATAATTTTATGAATGCAAAGCAATTAAAACAGTGCCCAAAGTAAGCACTAACCTAAGTAAAGCTTACCGATTATAATTGTAATCTAGGGACCTTCATAACTAGATTGATTCTTACCAGGCTTAACACTTTCTCAAATTGTAATGCACTCAATAAAAAAAAAAATAATAATAATACGTTGAATGAACAGGTGCCTCCAGAATTAGGGTTTAAATATATTTCATTTTTTAATCTTTTTGCCATTTTAAACAATTTAAATTTAAGAATTACTGCTAAGAAAGATCATCCAGAATGATAACTCAATTTCCTAAATTATTCTTTGAGGATAATTGGGCAGCATTTTCTTGATGCACAGCTTTGAGGCTATGATATAACATAGTACTATCCAGACACAGGCACCCAGTTATATATGTTGGTGAGAGCATCCGGCTTACTCTGCGAGTATGTGTTGTGTACATTGTGTGTATGTATGTGTGTCTTTAATGATATGGGGTTTTTTGTTTTGTTTTTGATTTTAGTGGGAACTATGAGCAACTTACAGCATCTGAATTAAAATTTTTGCTGATCAAATTAATTTCTGTGTTATTATGCATCTTACACTTATCCAGGTATTGTCGTAAATCCAAAATGTCTATTCGAGGGAATTATTGGCTTTATCTCCGGACACCCTTATGATTTCTTTGTATATAAAATAAAGTAATATTCATTATAAGCAACGCCACAGTGTGGTCTTTCTTGCAAGAATGTCAACACTGACATCTAAGACGATCAAGATGCTGACTATACATTTCCACATGTATAAATTCTTTTAGATTTGCAGCTAGGTACATAGAACTTTCTTCTCAATAAGTGGAACTTTCAGTAATAGGAGCTGTACAAATTAATGTTTCCCATAGATGCTGGTGCTGTAAAAAACCATAAAATTAAATTTCAAGCTCAATTATAGTAGTTTAGTTTTATTTTACTAACCCACTACGTATTTAACTAATCCACTATGACTGCTATGCTTGGCACTTTTTCATTTTCCTTCTTCCTTAGCCTTGAATTCTATATCATTTATAATATTTTATTTTTTCTGCAAACTGCCTCAATGTCTTTCTAAAAAGAGCAGAAGCATGAATATATTTATATATGTTAACACACATACATATAGTAACTTGAATTGGTCCTGATGTTATCGTATTACTATTCCCACATCTAGATGCACCAAGACAAACTTAATTAAACTTTAATTAGTTTCCATGTGGAAAGGAAACTGTGGCTACTATTGTTTCATTTGCATTAGGAACATGCATTGGGGGAGAGCTACAGGTTTTCAGCACACATTACATATGTATGACTGAAAATAATGTCGTTTTCATTTAATAATAGATCTTAGATCTACTCCTTTAAAATCTACATATAAATACTAATTCATGTTTGAAATGAATTGGATGAATTCTATTCTATAGTAGTAATTACAAAGGTGTGATTCCAGAGTATCAAACAAAATTTGGATATGCAAATTTTGCATATCCTAGGTGAAATGCTACTCTATCTAAGATAGAATAAAAGTCAGTTTCATTAATTTTTCAACAAACAATCTTCTCACTTCAGATTCAGGCAACTAAAGGTTATGAATCTGCTTCAATCAAAACCAGAGAGAATACTTTCTCATTATACACTTGCCAGGAACCTCAATGTGATGTCTAGTTTGCATCATAAGCAGAGCTGAGAATATTAATACCCATGAGGCAGAATTTTAGAGCTATGCTACCCATCCATTTGTCTTAGATTTCAAAACTTGATCCCTATATTCCATTAACTCATAAAAAACAAGTGTACCAGAACAACATGAAATTATCTCACCATAAAAATTATATTTCATGATCATATGGAAGAATCATATAAGCAAAAGGAATGTATACTAACATCGGGAGTTTCCATGTTTTAGAGTGCTTTCCTCAAAATTTTCTGAGAACCTTCTTTTTTCCAGGTCTATTTGTGGGCAGCAATGCCATCTGGTGGGTTGCCATGGGCTAGACTGTATCCATTTCTCCCCCTGAAGGCACTCTCTGACTTTCTACTTAATTTTGGCTTTATCAGATACCCTGGGGAGCTCCAGGACTAATACCTATGGAGTTGTCCCAGGGCCCCATGACCAAGCCCTGATTCCTAGTAGGCGGTCTGTCAAGGAGATTGCCTCTCCTAATGATATTGTGTATTTTTTACAAAATCACTAAAAATTGGACTGCCAGAATGGTCCACAAAGACTGACTTGGCATGACTCAAATTTTATATAGAGATAGATAACCCACAGAAAACATTTGTCTGGGGCCCCATATACCTCAGGGAAACCTTGGCTATGTGTTCATTTTTAACAAAGGTTCTATTTGAAGACCTTTTCCACTGTATTATTCAATAGTCTTTAAACACATTTCTAAAAGGTAAATTCTAAAAATATAGTGCAAGGAATTTAAATCTTGAATGGATTTGTTTCCTTTGACCTACCATTGGAATCTTAAGACTCGTCATATTTCTCATTAGTTTAGGCTTCCAGAGAACTCTGAGGACATTAATGTGCAATAAATACAATCTTCTAGATCAGCTTCCTAGGACTCCTCCTATTATAGTTTTCTATTTCTGTCTTTGGATTTATTCTAAACTCTCTTCAAGCATATATTTTTGTTTTGTTTTGTTTTCAAGCATATATGTTTTTATTAAAACCACGGCAAAATCTTTTAGAAGATTTAAAGACAGTTAACTAACAAAATAAAATATCCATTTTTTTCTGGGAAAAAATAATTTGGTGGCAATGATAAGTTATATCCATTCTATACATGGGTCTAAAATTTTATGTAAGGAAAATAGCAGTAAAGCATAAATGTGCTGAAATGAAGAGTTACCATCAATTATTTTGTGAAAAAAAATTAAATTTCAATAAACTAACAATAAGATTTAAAAATGACATGCTGTGTTGAAGATTGAGGTGTATGTACTTGAGTTTCAACACTTATAACTTTGGCCATAAATAGCTTCATAAATAGCTTGCAAAACATATAATAAATAAATAATTTATAAAGTATAAGCAAGCCACGTCAAATATTTCAAAACCACATTTCAAATGGTATTTCATGTTTTTAAGGGGCAGGGAAAGGAAGACATCCTGGTCATTCAAGGATATCAACAGCAGCTTAGAATATTTATGCCTGGGGACTTTTTCTCTGTCTTCTTCGTAAACAGTTCCAGAACATCTGTGAGCAATAATGTGCTATAACCTTTTTCATGATACTTAATATTTTAACTTCTTGTCTTTAGCAAAGAATCTTAAAAAAAAAAAAAATAGGAACAAAATATATATTAATTTCATTAAAATAACCAGGGAAATTTGAGGTAAAGAATGATTAAATGATGTTCCAAAGCTTACCCAGGCCACTGAGTCAGGAAGAGAAACCAGGTCTCTCAGATTTCAATCCCAGTGTTCTAGTCACTGGTTTGTTCAACTCCTGTGCAAAACATCCATACACAATACACAATTCATAATCCCCCTTGCTATCAAGTGGTTGTCAAAAGAAACGCCATTACCTTTCCAACATACTGAGGCTCGGAGCCCATGTATTCCTCCAGCACAAAAAATTGATTCCATACCCAGCCACGTTTAACTCGTTGGAAATGTGATCGGCGCCCTGGCAGGTGGATAACATTTTCTGTTGGTTCTGTGGCTAAAGTCTGTTGTGGCTGTGGTTGAAGGGGTATTAGGAGACCTCCATCAAACAGGACCCAGAGAAGCAGGGATAAACAGTTCCTTGTAAGCATTGGCAAAGGCTTTCCAACAGCAGAGTAATAAAAACTCCAGCACTTAATGTAGAATTGTGGAATCCAGGTTTGAGGTGTCTGTGGCCTCCACCACTTAACTTTCTGTTTTATTGCAGAAATGATAATGCAGGCATTAATCCTTTTGATGAAAAGGCTTCTGCTGTATTACATTCCATCTAAAGGGACCTATAAAACAGATTAACAAAGATACATTAAATTGACAGAATGACTTGATGGTAGTCATCAAAACTCTCATTGCGTCTGCCAACATTTAAAGAAATAAAAAGGAAAGCCTGGAAAAGACTTGCATTGCTAAATGGTCACTGCTATGCACCCTGCAAATTTGGATAAACTAAGTTTTCTACAGACTTGAAAAAAGCTTTAAGATGAAGCAAAAGGTGTATCATAAACAGAAGCAATTTTTTCTCAATTTAATAATCATTTTAAGGATAAAACACAGATCACTATTTTTAACAAGAACTGGGTTAGAGGAGGGCTTCACAATGTCACCTTTTGACATTTGGGGTTGAATAGTTGTTATTGGGGAGCTATTCTGTGCATGTGACTTTTAGCCACATTTCTTTCCTCTGTTCAGTAAGTGACAGTACCATCGTCCCCTACTCCCAATTGTGACAATCAAAAATTTCTCCAGGCATTGCCAAATATCTCCTGGAAGAAGCAAAATATGCCAAGATTGAGAATCATACATTTAGAGAATAAGAAAAAGAAAAAAAATTAAGAAAAACAAAAAACAAAAAACCCTAAAATTAGAAAATAGAAAGAATCAGTCCATCCAGGAAAGAACAAGATAAATTAGTAAATTTAAGTCAATGAAATTACTGAAATATAAATGACTGATAAATTGTCACATGGTTTTATAAGGCTTTATAAGCTTTAACTTAAAAAGAATTGCTTCTCTAGCCTGGATACATGGGAATTATTTTGTCTCAAATGTGCAGCTTAGAGCAACCTTGGATCCCTACCAGATTGACAACCTCTATTCTGCATTTAGGTAAAGTGAGTTTTGAACTCTTCCTTACAACAAGCAATTCTGTTTTTCTTTCCTTCACTTATCTAAGGTTTATTGAGTGTCAACAAAGTCCTTTATTTATTATACAGTAGATAAGAAAATATACACAATTCTTGACTCTCTTAAATCAGAAACAGAAAACAAATTTAAAAACAAATACAGGGGCTCCAGGGTGGCTCAGTCAGTTAAGTGTCTGCCTTCGGCTCAGGTCATGAGCCCAGGGTCCTGGGATGGAGCCCCGTGTGGAGCTGCCTGCTCAGTGGGGAGTCTGCTTCTCCCTCTCCCTCTGCTGCTCCCTCAGCTTGTGCTCTCTCACTCTCTCTCTGTCAAATAAATAAATACAATCTTTAAAAAAAAATAAAAAATAAAAAACAAATACATAAATGAAACCAAATTTACGAATGCTGTGGATTAAAAAAAAAAAAAAAAAAAGGCCAAACAGACAGACTATCCCTGATAGCACAACATAAGTTAGCAAAAGTCAGTTTTAAGTGACAATTGCACTGAGAACTAAAGGAACAAGAACAACCCATCCTCTGTGAGCAGGCACGGGAAGCATGTGGCTCGAGCTCCAGCACAGTTTTGTGCATTTGGCACTCAGGACTTGATGCCTACAGCCTAAAATTGGAATTTCTCAAGAGCCAAAAATGTTGGAGGCCAGAAATTGTATATAATGCTTCCAAAACAAGGGAACTAAAATCAAAATCAATATATGTTTAATTAAACATCTATGAAACATGGCATCTTGTCAACTCGTCAGCTACGATGCAGTTCAGTGCTCATCCAGTCATATACAACATTACAAAAATTATAATGTGTTCCTCACAAATATTCAAATTTAAACATTTAATGTGGGAATCATGCTTGAAATAAGATAGGAGATGGGAAATATCCAAAAGTTATACTCTGAAAGCATTCTATAAGAATACTCCCCAAAAAAGAAATAAAACAGGATATGATATTTTTTCTGTTGTGTGAAGGGATGAGACCATTAAATGCTGATAAAAACATAAGTAGGCATATATTTAATTGCAGCTTTTCATTCTGGCAAAATAATGCTCATAACAAGTTAACCTCTATTGTCCCATATGGTTACCACTAGCCATATGTGGCTATTTAGTTGAAATGTGGTGATTTGAGATTTTTAACTTATATACCAAATTTCAAAGAATTAATACCAAAATAAGAAGAATATAGAATATCTCAATTTCTTTTTTTTTTTTAAAGATTTTATTTATTTATTTGAGAGAGAGAATGAGATAGAGAGCATGAGAGGGGGGAGGGTCAGAGAGAGAGGCAGACTCCCTGCCGAGCAGGGAGCCCAACGTGGGACTCGATCCCGGGACTCCAGGATCATGACCTGAGCCAAAGGCAGTCGTTTAACCAACTGAGCCACCCAGGCGCCCAATATCTCAATTTCTATATTCATTTGTTGTTGACATAATATTTTGGATATATTAGGCTGAATAAGTATAAAAATGAACTTCACCTATTTTTTTTTCCTTTTTGTTGTGTTTACTGGAAAATTAAAATTATATATGCAGCTCACATTTGTGGTTTGCATTATTTTTTATTGGACAGCACTGATTTAAACAAGAGTTTAAATCACGAACTGTGGTTTCTACTTAAATAACTTATTCTTAACATTCAAAACCAAGTATCTAACATGAACGTGTCATGTCTATGTGACAATACATTTAAGAGGTCAGAGAATATTTGCCACTATTTTCAATAAGCCTGTGTAGGCAGAGTGCATGTATCTTCCTCATCTGTTCTCAAGTTTAAATCACTAACGCCAACATTCAAAGTGTTCTAATTTCTTAACCTTTCCGTTTCTTCCATGCTTCTTCCCATACCCACGGCAATCCTGGCCCAGGCAAATGCAGAGCAGCTGGGGAGATAAACATGAATAGAAGAGATGGATGGCAGGAACTCGGACTTCCCAAACCTAGTCTAGTATATGTAATTAGGTTGTATTTTTGCTTTCTTATTCCGTGAAAATTTTCTCCTCCACTTTTCTGGGAACGTGAAGTATCAAAACTCAGAGTATAGAGAGCATTGACACCTGAGGTTATGTCTTTAAGGAAGTGTCTTTTCAATTTTACATTAGGGATTTTCAATATTGGACATCTGGGTATATTCATCATCGCTGCCACCAGTCTGGTTCCAGCTACCCTTTCCCCTTCGGTGTTAAAGGTGTCCAGATTCTGAGATTTGATCTGCTACTAGAGTAATTTTTCAGAAATTCTAATCTATGGACATCATTCCCCTTCTCTTACACTCGAATGTGTGTCTATAACGTGAGGGGATTGGTTGTAAATGATTGGTAAGTAGAGAAGAATGTGATTATAACATGAAAAGTATGTTGTTTCATAAGCTAATTCCTCAGGACATTAATGATTCACATCACCAAAAATGACAGCCAAACACAAAATATTGTAATAAGGCTGGAGTTAACTGCAGCCATGGAGGACAGTGTGGAATATGATCCACATTTCCCTCATGTTCACATTCTGTCTTTCCTTTGACCTTGTTTGGACACATATTAGCATGACGTGTTCTCCCACTTTTATGTCCAGCCCCACTCCTTTCTCTTTCTCTAAGTAGGCTTAATCTTACTTCTATCCCTGTGATCAAATTACTTTCTCCTTAAAATAGAATATTATATTTAAAGGGAAATTTACTTATTAGTAGTTTCTTTTTGCTACTATTTCCATGAGGATGATGATTGCTAGGGGTGACTACACAAGTTTGGGGGTTTGCACATAATCTTATTTTTTTCCCATGAATCCTGCTTTTTTATTTTTAAGATTTTATTTGTTTGAGAGGGAGAGAGTGCACACATGAGTGTGTGTGGGGGGGGGGAGGCCAGAGGGAGAAGCAGACTCCTGACTGAGCAGGGAGCCCCATGATTTGGGGCTTAATCCCAGGACCCCAGTATCATGACCTGAGCAAAAGACAGACGCTTAAATGACTAAAGCACCCAGGCGCCCCGAATCCTGTTGTTTTAATATAAGTTCTACAGAATACAAAGCTTTTTAGAAATTCACATATCATAGTGTAGTAGAAACATCTGTAATTAACAACATAAAGCCTTCTCACTACACACTGGAGACTTAATGTACAGCATGGTCACTATAGTTAACAATAGGGTTATATATCTGAAAGTTGCTAAGAGTTCATCATGAAATTAGGATTTTTAATACGATATACATAAGCTTAACAGGGCCTACATGATCCACCTCTGCATGAGCCTGGCCATTTATCCCCTCTGCTGGCCAAACCCTTCAGTTTTTATTAATAACAATAATAATTTATATTACAGATGCATGTTCATTTGCACCTCTGTGAAGGAGGTGTTTTATTATGCCCATTTCACAAATGAAATGGAAGAACAAGAACTTAAATTACATGGCCGTGGTCCACAAATGGACGCATAGCATGCAGGTTGAATCTGGACAGTCTGATTCCAGAGTTCATCCTCTTAAGTGCTATTGTATTCTGCCCCTATATGAGTGAATGCATAAATAGTTGAAAGCACCAAGGGTTTCAAATCGAAGCAAGAGAAGGAATATAAGCTTACAGACCTGGCTTCCAAATTATTTTTTCCAAAGCTAAGCAGCTATTTCAATATTAGGGCAGCTTAAGTTTACTTTGACTCCTTTAGAGATTCTGTCAAGTTAGTGAACTGAAGCTATCAGGTCAACTTAGTTCCTTTTCAGTCAAGAGATTGCTGGGCTCCCTGTATTCACACACAAGGATGTGAAAAGAGACAAATAATTTCTAGGCAGAGACAAGGGGGAAAATGCAAAAACTGGCAGGGTTAGTGTGCTAAGAGAACTGGAAAATGGCTGAGAATTAAGAAACTGCACAACACCCCAGCAAATCCACCCAGCAAGGTGTTAGACAGGCCAGGTGACCTGAAGCAGCTGTCCTACAGAAAGGAAGGTAAGGTGGATTCCACTGTGCAGGCTTCTTCTCAGTTAGCTTGATCTGGGCATATAAGCCAGTGTGAGCCAGAGGAGAAGGCAGCCTGATAGACCTACTTGACAACTCCGAATTTGGGGGTCACTTCCAGCCTCGGTATACTTAATCAAAGCATAATCAGGGGCGCCTGGGTGGCTCAGTTGGTTAAGCGACTGCCTTCGGCTCAGGT